TTCAATCTAAAGAACTTCCTTTAATCTTTCTTTTTTTATTTTTTAAAATTTTTTGGTGGCACTGGGGTTTGAACTCAGGACTTGGTGCTTGTAAAGCAGGTGCTCTACTGCTTGAGCCATGCCTCTATTCCATTTTGCTCTGATTATTTCAGAGATGGGGTCCATGAACTGTTTGCCTGGGCTGTTCTCAAACCACAGTCCTCCTGATCTCAGCCTCTCAGGTACCTAGTATTATAGGCATGAGCCACTGGCTCATGACTTAATCTTACAGTGTTGGTCAAATGGTAACAAATACTCAGCTTCTGTTTTTTTAGAAATGTCTTGAATTTGCCTTCAGAATATTTCTGTTGAGAAGTCATTGTTGATTGTTACTATTGTTCTCCTACATATAATGTTTTTTTGCTCAACAGCTTTTTTTTTCTTTTTTTCTATAGTGCTGTGGTTTGGACTCAGGGCCTACACCTTGAGCCATTCCACCAACGCTTTTTTGTGATGGGCTTTCTGAAATAGGGTCTCATGAACTGTTTGTCCAAGCTGGCTTTGAATCTCGATCCTCCTGATCTCTGCCTCCTGGGTAGCTAGGATTACAGGTGTGAGCCACCAGTGCCTGGTGCGCTGACAGCATTTTAAAAAAAAAAATATTTTTGGCATGCTGGGGTTTGAACTCAGAGTTTTGCACTTGCAAGGCAGTCACTGTACTGCTTGAGCCACACCTCCATCCCCTCTGACAGCTTTTAATTTCTTCTCTTTAATTTTCAGTAATCAGCTAAGTTGTGCATGGTGGAATCTTCTTTGCATTTATTCAACTTAGAGTTCACTGAGCTTCTTGGACCTATGGATTTATATCTTAGGTTTTGGGAAAATTTCAACCATATCTTCATAATTTTCTTGTATTTGCTCTCTTCTTCTGAGGCTCCAATTACATATATTTCAGACTAGTTTGATATTTTCTCAGGTATCTAATACTCTGTTCACTTTTTTTACCCCCGGTGTTTCGGATCCAACCCAGGGCCTTGCAGATGCTACACAAGTGGTCTAACTTTGAACTATCCCCAGCCTCTGACCCATCTTTGGGTTCACTGGTCCTTTTTTTTTTTTAATTGGGCAGTACTGGAGTTTGAACTCAGGGCTTCATGTTTGCAAGGCTGCTCTTTATAGCTGTTACCACTTGAGCCATGCCTCCAGTCCTTAAAAGAGCAAACAGAATGAAATAAGATAATTATGCCCTTTGGGAAGAACACATCCTTTCCTTTGGTAGCTAGGATGAGAGGCAAATCAATTCCTAACTAGGAATATGCTGAGGTTAGACCATGTTGCAGTTTTAAATAGTTTCAATTTTCCTCTGAAATTAGAAAACTGATTAGTGAGATCAATTTCTTCCTTCATCTGGCTTTGGTGTCTTAAGTACCCATGACCAAAGAAAAATTTCTTAGCCTTTTGGCTTACATGATTTCCTGTGTACTCCACAGGGTCTTGTTTCTTTGAACTTACTGCCTGGGAATTGTGTTGCAGCTATACCTAGTTGTACTTGAACTCAGCTACTTACGACATTGACAGATTCCACAAATATAATGATGAAGGAAAGAAGTCAGATACAAATAAGCATGAACTGTGTTCCATGTATATAAAGTTCAGTAAAAATTAATCTACAGTGTTAGAAATAAAGCCCATGTTACTTGTGGGAAGGGGGCTGGAGTGGTAATTGAGAAAGGGATGGAAAAGGCTTCTCAAGTGTTGTACGTGTTTACTTTGTGAAAATTTTTTGAGCTATATGCTTAATGATTTGTACCTTTACTGTATGTGTGTTATAGTTAAATAGCAAAAAAGTAAAGGAGGGTAGGAAATTCACTACAAAAACAAATAAAAAACAATCTATAGACCTGGCATGGTGATGTTACCAGAAAATCAGACCTTGAAGAATCCTCTATTTTAGGTTTTCTTTGCATATCCCCATCACTTATGGCTAACTGCTACCTAACAGTGGTGCACACCTATAGGCTGAGGTAGGCGAAATATGACTTTGAGGCCATTCTGGGCTGTATAGCAAGACCTGATCTTAAAATAAATAAATAAAAATGAACTCACGGAGAAAACATTTTCAACGTTTATAACAAAGGATTTCTATCTAGGATATTTTATTTTAAAAATTCCTACAAATCAAGAAAAGGACAAAAAATAATAAAACAACCCAATAAAAAAATGGGTAAAGGATAAAAAACAGATAATACGAGGGCCGAATGGACTATGAATGGTCAATAACCGTGTGAAATGGTATCCAAGTTCACTAACAATTATGGAAATTCAGATTAAACCTCATTGAGATACCATTTCATACCACAAGATTGACTAAAGGTAAATGTTTAACAATACCAAATTTTTGAGAATATGAAGAAGCAGAAAGTCTCATACACTGCTAATAATAATGTAATTTTTTATAATTTATAGGGCAAATTGACCAGTTAGTGACTTGAAGGTATGCAAGGTCTGTTTCTGCAATTTTGTTTTCATCTAGAGTTTTTTTTTATCATAAAGACCCACTTTCATGTGTAAACAAAAATATATCTTGCAATTTGTTTCTGATAGCAAAAAAATTGGAAAAGATCTAAATGACCATCAATAGGGGAACGGAGACATACCGCAAAGCAATTAAAATAAATTGTATATATATTATATATGTATATATATATATACACACACATATATATGTATATATGCACAACATGATAAAATCTTGAAAACACAGTGCATGAAAAAGTATGTATGCAGAATGAAGGTGAAACCAGAGTTTTGGACCCCAGGCCCAGTTGCTTACCCCTATATGCCAAATAAAGATTCATGGTGAAGGTTACAGAAAGGAGATTTATTACAAGGCCTGGACATGATGTAGGAAGAGGCAAAGTAAGCATGTCAGCCTGTCTTGAACCATCTTCAGGGTACCTACAGGAGCTTTAGCTTTAAATAGATGAAGTTGGGCAGGGGCAAAAGGTATGCATAGTTAAATAGGCCCCCTCACAGATGTGGCCTGGTTGGTCATTATCTCAGTCCTTGTTTGGGAGCAGTTTGAGAAGAAGTTCTTATCCAGGGTCTTTGTTACTAGCAGGTGGTTTGTCCTGAGGAGACACTACTCTTCTTTAGGGTCCCTTCTCATAAAGCTGTATTGATAAGTCCTGTCCTTCCTGGAGTCCAAGGTGAATGAGTGCAGAGATCAAATCTTATGCCATTAAAAACAACAAAACCCAAAGTGACTGCAGAGAGAATGGCTTAGAGCAAAGACAAATGCAAAATGAAGGCAGAGATGCTAAGCTTTTCCCTTTTCCCACTTCCCCAGACTGGGAATTGAACCCAGGGCTTCATGCAAGCTAGGCAAGCACTCATAGCACTGAGCTACATCCCCAGCCCATTTATCTATTTATTTGTTTGTTTATTTAGTTATATTTATTTTGGAGGCCCAGGAGGTCTCAGTCTCCTGAGTAGCTAGCTGGGATAATAGATGTAAGCCACCATGCCCAACTCAAATTTTAAAAGAACAGTACATGTTATTTATGGACCCATATATGTTAAAGTACAGATATACACTCAGGAGGAGTATTCATCAGCTTCAAAATAACTGTTGCCTCTGGGCAAGGAAGGATATGGATAGGGTCTTTGAGGGGCCAAGTTTTTTCTCAAAAAGAAAAACCTGAAATAAATATGTCAAAACGTTAGCATTAAGTCTTGGCAATAGTACAAAGTTGTTTAATGTGTAATATTCTCTCTGGTTTTTTATTTATTTGAAATAGTTTCATTTTTTAAAAAGGCTAAACTTGGAATCAGAATATGAAAGGTATTACATAATATGAGAAGCCTTCCTCTCTTCTGAATACTCTTAGTCCTTTGATAAGCTTTCTGGTCACTTTGCGTCTATATCACCATCAGATCAAGTAAATGGATGTTGATAAAACTGATAGAATCTTTTCTCCTCTGGTGTACCTTCCAGACTCCAAGTAGAACTAACTACATTTTTCAGAATCCTTCTTATTAAAATGTAAAACAACAACAGAAATATGTATAATTCCCTAGCCCAAGTGACTAACTTGGGATTTTCAAATAAATAAAAGGTTATCTTCTTTCTTGTTTCACATTCCTGCTCAAAAAATATGATGATAGTTGGGTATAGGTTCCACCTATTGGAGAGGCTAAACGAGGGGGATCACTTGAGCCCAGGAGTTCTTGAGAACAGACCCCATCTCAAAAACACAACCAATGCCAGGCACTGGAGGTTCACGTCTGTAATCTTAGCTGCTCAGGAGACAGAGATCAGGAGGATTGCAGTTCGAAAGCAGCCGAGGCAAATAGTTTGACAGATCCAATCTTGAAAAACCCTTCACAAAAACAGGGCTGGTGGAGTGGTTCAAGGTAAAGACCCTGAAAAAAAAAAGCAAACCCACAACCAATGATAATATGTCTCTTAAGATATAAATAAAGCTGATGTGGTTGGGACATACCTGTAATTCTAGCACTTGGAAACTGGAGGTGGAGGCAGGAGGATAATGAGTTTGGAAACCCTGTCTCAAAAAAAAAAAAAAAAAAAAAAAACACTAATTGACAAGTACATGGGTAAACAGTCATAAAATGTCTGTTTTTTTAATCCAGATTTTTTTTATTTTCAGAAATGCAGGTATAAACAATTTTTTAAAGTATTCTATGATTTGTGTCACCCTAGCTTATTAACTATTTCCACATAGTTACAAGGCCTTTTAATTTTAGAAGCAACAAAAGGATCCAAGTATTCAAAGACTTATTTCTGTGGAGCAGAGAGGTGGAAAATAGTCATGTTTTACAGATTATCCTGGGAGAGGTCAGAAGTTTACTTATCTACATAAACATGTTAGGGTCCCTCCCACTTGTTGAATAGCTTGGTTGTTAAACTGCTAGGCAACAGGCTTTCCTTTTCTCAGGTACAGTTTAGAAAATGGAGAATTTACTTTTTATCTTATTGCTTTGTTTTTTTTTATTTGCAGGCTAAACACTAAGATGAGAAAAATTGATCTCTGTTTGAGCTCTGAAGGCGCTGAAGTGATTTTAGCCACATCAAGTGATGAAAAACACCCACCTGAAAATATCATTGATGGGTAAGAGTTACTTTACTGTCTTATTTCAAGTCTTGATATTAGGTCATCAAACCCCTTGAGTACTGGACTCTGAGTTTTACAACTGGTACTGTTTAGCATAGTTTAATAAATGTTGGGTGAACTAGATTATATCTTGACAGTATCTACCTTTGGTGTCATTGCTGTAACTAATTCAGTTGTGAATATTTTGAAGTTTTTGATCTTTTTCTCTATAATTCCTAAATTGACCTCTTTATACAAATAAGTTTAAAGTTTTTCATTATTACTTTTATTATGACTGCAGTGGTGGGAACCAAACTCAGGGCCTCACACATGCCAGGCAAGTGTTCTGCCATCAAGCTAGACCCTCGAGCCAATAAAGTTTTCTTTTAGGGGTTTTTTTCCCCTGGTTTTGTTTGTTTGATGTTTTATTTTGTCTTGCTTTGTTATTTGGGTTTTGGTACGGTTATTTGTTTTTGGTTTTGGTGGAGCCGGGGATGGAAACCAATGCCTTGTGCATACTAGGCAAGTGCTGTGCCACTGACCTACATCCCCAACCCTGTTTTTTTGAGACAGGGTCTCACTTTATAACCCAGACTGGTGTTGTACTCAGAATCCTTCTGCCTCAGCCTCCCAAGTGCTAGGATTTACAAGCATGTACCACCATACCTGGCTTTCTAATAGCTTTTTTTCTTATTATTTTTAATTCCTTCTTCTCTCTCTCCCTAGCTTTCTCCCTCCCTCCCTTCCTCCCTTCCTTCCTTTCTTTCTTCCTTTTTCTTTGCTTTTGAAGATTAGCAAAGGTTGATTTAGTAAAGCAGGGAGAAAGGAGCACCCCCTGACAGAGGAGTTGGGAGCAAAGAGGTTCCTTTTTTTTTTTGAGTGGGGGGAGGATACATTTACATTTTATTTGTCAGGTAATTATAAACAGTAGCTATTAAATAAGTAAAAATTATGGGAGGTATATAAGTGTATCTATATAGATAATTTATTAGAAATCATGAAATTATGAAACTAGAAAAATCATCGAAGTCCAATAGCTTGTTTTTTGACTCTACCATTTGAGTCAACCCCAGCCCTTTTTACTTTTTACTGTTTGAGATAGGGTCTAACATTTCTGCCAGGGCCAGCCTCTGACCATCACTCTACTCTCAACTCCTGCATGGTTCAGATTAATAGGTATTCACCACACCTGACTATTTTTATTTTTGTTTTTGTTTTTATGGGGCTGGGGATTGGATCTATAATGTTGTGCTCTCTAAACAAATGCTTTTCTACTGAGCTACATCTCTAGCACACCCAGCTTATTTTTGAGACAGGGTCTTACTGATTTTTCCCCCCTGTGGCCTGGGTTGCCCTTGAACCACAATCCTCCTGTTTCCTCCTCTGATTATATGCATGAACCACCACACCTGGCTCCCCAACAAGTTTCTTTTCTTTTTTTCTTTTCTTTCAATTCACCAGGGCAAAAACCCAAATGACAACAACTTCATTTTTTGGAAGCATAAATTTTATTTTATTTATTATTTTCTTTCTAATGACTTTCTTTTCTTTTATTCATATGTGCATACAATGTTTGGGTCATTTCTCTTGGAAGCATAAATTTTAAAGTATGGTTTTGATTGTAGTACAGATTTTTCTTGGAATTAGGAATATAAACAGGATAGCTTCCTATCTACTGCCTATTTCCTTGTGGTCTATGTAACATCTTTTCTGAACTGATTGCTTCACTTCCTGCTATCCTCCTGCATTGTTTGCTTCTCATCTTCTTGATATCATCCAATTTCCACTCACAGGGCTATAGGTTTTTCTAGATAGAGATAAATAATTCTCAGACTTTTAATTCCAAGAAAAAGTGGCTAATGGGAGAACTTTTTTAATAGTTCTGACTTGTTTTCTTCCTCTCTTGAGTTCTCTTTCTTGGTACCTGTGTACAATGACCAGAGTTTGACTCAATCACATAATTTTAGAGCTGGCAGAATTTATGAGTTCATCTTCTCTAACCCCTTTATTTTAGACTTGTGGTAAGAGAGGACTAAATATGCTAAATACTGTAAAGTTAGTGAAGGCAGAGCCTTGACCTCTTTCTTCAAGGTTAGTTGCTATCTTCTTTCTAAAATCTGCTCCTTTCCTCTTGGTAGGATTAGTTTATCTCTTTGCTAGGTTCCAATAGCATTTGGTATAAATCCATACCATCTCACTTTTTTATTTTTTCAGTACTGGGGTTGGGACTCAGGGCCTACACCTTGAGCCACTCCACCAGCCCTTTTATATAAAGGGTTTTTTTGAGATAGGGTCTGGAAAATTATTTGCCCAGGCTGGCTTTGAACCTCGATCTTCCTAATCACTGTCTCCTGAGTAGCTAGGATTACAAGCATGAGTCACTGTACCTAGCTCTTACTTCTTTATTATTTAGTTTTTTATTTTTAAATATTTGATTCCTCTCTCAACTGTGAATTCCTAGGACTTAAAGTCTATATCTTGTTCATCTTTGAGTCTACAAAGTCTTAAACTGTTGACTAGTTTGTTGAATTAGGATCAAGTATTAAACTTGGCTAATATTGAAAAGTATCAGAATGTATATTTATATACATATACATATATAAACATACATACATGAATGTGTATATATTACTATACATTTGCATAGGTCTTTAAAAGTTCATAGATACTCTGTCATTTGATTGGGAAATAAGTTCAAAATCGTATTTTTAATCCCATTGTAAAGATGAGAAATTTGTTGTGGTGGCATGAGCCTATAATCCTAGCACTTGGTAGGCAGAGGCAGGAGGATTGGATGTGTGAGGCCAGCCTGTGATATACAGCAAGTTCTAGGCTGGCCTGGGGTTCATAGAGAGACCCTGTCTCAAAAACAGAAAGGGGAGTGAGAAGGAGGGAGGAAGGGATGGAGGAAAGAAAAGAAGGAAGGGGTAGAGGGAGGAAGGAAGGGAGGGAGGAAAAAAACAAAGGAAAGGGGAGAGAGAAAGAAAGAGAGAGAGAGAGAGATGACCAACTATAAAATGACTTGCTCAAGGGAAGGGCTGGGGTTTGGCTTAAGTGGTAGAGTGCCTGCCTAGCAAGCAGGAAGCCCTGAGTTCAATGCCTAATACTACCCTCCCCAAAAAAATACAAATTAAAAAAAATTGACAGACTTTTAATCTGTATTGTGTTTCCAGAAAATACAGTAGACTTTATATAGCTGATGTTTAAATTATTTTCTGTTCACAAATCAGTTTATCTATTTGGAAGCAATCATAGGGTTGTTTGGAGAAAACAGTGTTATACATTTACCCTTTCTGAATAGTGAGGTATTATGGTCCTGCAGCAAACTTTCAGTTTCCTTAGGAACAGAGGGAAAGAAAGGAAGAGAGAAGTAAAGTGAGAAAGCTTTTTTGGGGGAGAGGGGGAGGTGTTGAGGTTTGAACTCAGGGCCTAAAGCTTGCTAGACAGTCATTATACCATTTGAGCCACTTTGCCAGCCCTTTTTTGTGTTTAGCATTTTCTAAGAACTATTTGCCCAGGCTTGCCTCAAACTGCTATCTTCCTGATCTCTGCCTCCCTAGTAGCTAGAATTACAGGCATGAGCCACCAGTGCTTGGCAAGATGCTCCTTTTTTTTTTTTTGCATAGTAATAGATTTACAGTTAACATTCCTGTGGAAGTGAACTATATGTGTTATAAGATTATATGTACTGCCAGGCACCAGTGGCTCATGCCTGTAATTCTAGCTACTTGGGAAGCTATGCTTGGGAGGATCAAGATTTGAGGCCAGCCTTGCAAATAGTTTATGAGACCCCTATCTCCAAAATAACCAGAGCAAAATGGATTGAAGGTGTGGCTCAGGCAATAGAGTGCCTGCTTTGAAAGTTTGAAGCCCTGAGTTCAAACCCCAGTCTTGCCAAAACAACAACAACAAAAAAAACATTGTATGTATGTTACCTTTTGACCCTCAGTTTCCAATCTAAAAAATAGGGACCATATTATCTGTTCTGCCCTGAAAAATAGGGACCACATCATCTGTTCTGCCCTCATCAGAGTTGAGAAAAAATCTTAGGAGATTTTTAGGAGTTGTTAGTTCTGAATCCTTAATTAAAAGAAAACTACTGCTTTGACAATTTCCTTATAGCAAATTATGAAGATGCAGTTACATGTCATTTTAAAATCCAAGGGCATCTCTACATCATACTCAACGTATTGGTCATGTTTATTGAAAGTACTCAAGGAAAAACATAGGGCAATTAAACTCATTTATTATTCATTTGTTATTTTAGGTTTTTTTTGAGACAGAGTCTAGCTGAGGCTAGCCGAGGCAAGCCTCCAACTCATGATCCTACTGCCTCTGCCTCCCAAGTGTTGGCCTTATAGATATGCCCCACCATACAGGGCTCATTTAATTTATTTAACTAAATAAAATTAAAACTATATATAAATAAAAGGGAATTATGAAATATGATACATGGTAGTTAAAAAACAGAATTGTGAGTTAGGAGACCTGGCCTTTTTAAAAAATAATACCTTTATTGACACAAACTGAACAATTTGCCCATTTTCATACCCATGAGTATGCAGTTCAATGCTTTCAGCATATTCAAAGTGATACAGCCATCTCTATAATCAACAATACAACATTTTCATCACCTCCAAAAGAAATCCTGCATCCATTAGCAGTCACCCTGTATTCATCCATCCCCACTAGCTCTAGGCAACCATTAATATACATTCTATTTCTTTATAGGTTTTACCTAGTCAGACATTTCATGTAAATGGGATCATACACATAAGGTCTCTGTGACTGACTTCTTTCACTTACATGTTTTCAAGGTTCAGTACCTAATTCCTTTTTTTTTTGCAGTACTGGGGCTTAAATTCAGGGCCTACACTTTGAGCCACTCCACTAGCCTTTTTGTGATGGATTTTTTTGAGATAGGGTTTCATGAACTATTTGTCCAGGCTGGCTTCAAACCACAATCCTGATTTCTGCTTCCTTGAGTAGGTAGGATTACAGGCATGAGCCATCAGCACTCAGCCTTAATTCTTTTTTTATTGTCAGAATTATTTTTAAAAATCAGAAGAATGAGTAAAATATTGTGGCATAGTCCTTGGTGTAGAAATGAAAGCAGTAGTTTCCTAAGGGATGTGGGGATTGTCTAGAGAAAAAGTAAAGGAAATTTCTGGAGTTATGGAGATGTTTTATATAAATACACATATGCATACATTTTTGTGGTACTGGGATTTGAACTCAAGGCCTCATGTTTGCTATGCAGGTGCTCTACCACTTGAGGCCCTCCACCAGTGTGTTCTATATCTTGATTGGGATATTGGTACTCTGGGTTATCAGTTCCATAAGCAAATACATTTATCAAAACCCTCTAAGTTATACACTTAATTTCACTGTATAATATTTTTACTGCCAAAAAAGAAAGAAAAAGGCCTATGATGTTAAAATAGAAATAATTATTTTTGTAGTTAATACCATATATACAGCCAGGCATGGGTGTACATCTATAATCCCAGGACTCTGGAGGCTGAGGCAGGAGGATTATGAGTTCAAGGCTAGCCTGGGCTACAGAGCAAGTTCCATTCCAGCCTGATCTGTGTAGTGAGGCCCTGCCTCAAAACAAACAAACAAACAAAAATACATACTATATAATATTTCATACACACACACGTATATCGTATATATGTACACATATACATATGTTTATATAAGACAAAATAACATCATATTTTAACTTTTTGCAGAAAAAGCCATTCACATACTAGGATCAACTATTATAATAGTTGCTAGGGATGCAAAGATAAGGAAGGGAAAGTGTCTGGGCTCAGAGTGCTTAATGTCTTTCAGGAGCTATAAAAACACAAAAGAGAAGTATCAGTGTTCGGTGGATGCTGAGAGTGAGAAAAGAGCAAGAGAGAGGAAGTGATTACAATTTGTTGAGGTTGGAGAGATGGGACCGAAAATGAACAAACTTTTGCAAGGGGAAGAAGGGCTTTTCGGGCCAAGAAAACCTCGTTAATTAAGGTAGAGAACCATGAGCTGCACAATATATTTGCAGAATTTTAAGTGGACCACTGTGATTACAATGATGGAAGATGATGTAGTGATGGGAGAATATACTTTAATGATGAAACCAGATTGTACTGAGTCATAAATGCCTCACTAAGGAGTTGAGATTTATAGGCAATAAGAAATCACTAAAGGCTTTCAGAAAGTAGTGACATCAATTCTCTTCCTGTGCTTTAAAAGAGAATATCTGGTAGTAGTTAAAAAAAAAAAAAATCTTTAAAGTTGGGTAGGTATTAGTGGCAGAATTCAGTTAGAAAGGGATTGCGAGAATCCAGTAGTCATTTATTTTTTAATGCTTATTCACTGGAACTTTATGATTGAACTTTTATGTTTGCCTATTTCTTTTTCTTTAAAATTAACCATAGGAATCCAGAAACATTTTGGACTACCACAGGAATGTTTCCCCAGGAGTTCATTATTTGCTTTCACAAACATATAAAGATTGAAAAGCTTTTGATCCAAAGTTACTTAGGTAAGTAAATCATACATTAGTTTTTATTATCCTTTAATTTGTACATAGGCAGAAGACACATATGTAAACTTTTCGCAAAACGCTAGTTTTTCTTTCCAGTGTGGAATCAGTTTTATTGCTGGCATGGGAGGGGAAGAATAAGGGTTAACTGCCTTCAGCACAGTTAGCCTCTCTGAAACTGCAAATTTGAAACCCTTCCACACATGTAATAATTTCCATGCAATTTACTAGGTGAAAGTCACTGGCAAATGATCCTTATTTTTTTTTAAGGCTGTGATCTCTCAAATTCTTGCAAAAATCTGATAACCCTGATTATTCATTTTGAGTACTTTTGATTCTTCTATTGATAATGGCATTTTATGGAGACTCAGTAGAATCTCCCATTGGAACATCATTCTAATCTTGTCTATGTTTATTTATTGTTTGTTAGTTTTTCTGAGACAGGCTCTTGCCCTGTAGCCCAGGCTGGCCTTGAGCTGTGATCCTCCTGCTTCTGCCTCCCAAGTGCTGGAATTATAGACATGCACCACCATGCCTGGTTCCTGTCTGACTATTTAAGTCCAGAGTGTATCAGGCAAAATTAGAATACATCCTAGATGTTTCAAATGAAAAGACTTTACTGATGAATCTACTTAAAAAATGATGAACTGGGCTATGGGACTATACAAGGGATTTTGAGGCCCTTAGAAACTTGCTACAGAGGAAGCCATTATTGCCCTGAACAAGAAAAGGAAATAGTGTTATCAGAACCCAGCAAGAGCTGGAGCCTATGCCAGCTCCTAGCAGGAGCTGTAGTCAGGAAGGGACATAACCAGTAGCAAAGATGTGGCACTGAAGAAGGGAGAGAGTGGAGATAAAATAACCTAGTCATCTCACTTCCCTTCTGCCCTCCAGTTTCCTCCTGGTGTCTCCACTGACCAACTCCAAAGAGTTGGACAAGTTAGACTTGTAAATGTAATCCCCAAGAGTCAGCCCCTCTGGCACAGAATAGGACAGAGAAGGATCTGGAGCAGTGGGGACTAGTAAGAAACAGTAGAGAGGGAGGTGATGAGGGGAGGAGGCAGAGGGCAGAGGGGAGAAATGGCCCAAACAATATATGCATATATGAATAAATGAATAAAAAAAAGAAAAAGAAACAGAGAAATAAATAGTACAAAAGGAAGATGACTGCATGCCTGATGTCTCTCTGCCGTTAATTACAGAGGCTCTGGAGCCAGACGGGCATCCAGTGCGAATTCCAGTTTTGGCACTCACTAACTGTGTCTCACTGGACACCTTACCTAACTTTTGTAAGCCTGTGTCCTTATCAGTAAAGTAGGTTAATAATATCTTTCTCATAAGATTGTAGTCAAGAGTAAATGAATAAATTTGCCTGAATCATAGCAAGTTCTCCATAAAGGTTTATGACCAGGACTATCAATAGCATTATTATTATTGCAAATATATTAAAAAATTTTGGATGATAACTAAATGAAAAACCACTACTAACCTGGTCATGGTTGTGCATCTCTATAATCTCAGTGCTCAGAAGTCTGAGTCAGGAGGATTTTGAGTTTGAGGCCAGCCTTGGCTATATAGGGAGACAACGTCTTAAAAAACAAACAAACAAACAAAAAGCACTGTTTGCTAGCTTTGTATTTGTATTGTATGCTTACAAGCATTGGTAAGATTACCATTACAGAAGACTGCATTTTTACCAAAGGAATTTATGGAAAAATAGAGTGGGTCATTCCAGGATATAATATTCCTGAAGCTCGTCCTGTGTATAATCCCACCAATGCATGGCAGTTTCAGGCAGATGGAAGAAGAAATATAGGGACAGCAGAATAGAATCAGGTAGGTAGTTAACACTTTATTTATTTTGTTTATTCACAATGTCAGTGCGGACATTGAGGATTGAAAAGACCACAGCTAAAGAACCAGTTGGATTTGAGCAGTGGATTGATAAAGGTATGTGCTTGCTTTGCCAGCATTGTTCTGAGCATAAGGGAGTAAATGATTGTCCTCTGACTGTATGACCAATCCAGCTGCCTTTTGGCAAATAAAGGGTGACTTTCATGATTTTTGTGGTGCAGTTAGGACCTAGAGACACCCAGGTTTGCATTAAGACTTCTTTACTCACTGGTTATATGATAATTAACATGTTACTTCACTTTTCTGAATTTCAGAATCCTTATCAGAAAAATAGAGATAATACCTACAATGAAGACTTTTGTGAGCTAGCAGGTGGCATATGACAAACAAGCAATAAATATTAGTTTTCATTTTTCCTTTCTTCCTGATTAATGGTACTATTTGTCATCAATGGAATTAAACACAAACATACTGCCTTCATATAATCTTTCCTTCCCAAAATACCATGAAAATAATAATAGTAAAAGAATAATAGTAATATATAATAATAGTAAATAATAATAGTAAAAGAATAAAAAGGCCAGGCACGGTGGCTTATACCTATAATCCTAGCTACGTGGGAGGCAGATATCAGGAGGATCACAGCCTGGCAAAAAGTTCATGAGACCCCATCTCAATCAATAAACCCCATGCAAACACAGTTTTCAATGATGTACATTCATGAGTTATAGGACAGTCAAAAGTCACCAGTTGATGAAGAGCTCAGCCCCTGAATGTGATCAAGCTTATACCTCTTAATTTCCAATCTACAAGAAATACAGAAAATTGAGAATCTAAATGAATGAAATCAAGATGACAAAATTTAGCACATAGCATTCTACAGAACTGACACAGTCTCTTCAATTAAAAAAAATGGGCAGGCATGGTAGTGCAAACCTGTAATCCCAGCACAGGGAGGCTGAGGCATGAAGATTACAAATTCAAGGTCAGCCTGGGCTATATAATAAGTTCCAGATAGCCTAGGCTATGTTTTGAGATCCTGTCTTTAAAAAAAAGTGTGTAAAGAGAAAGTAGTTCAAGACTAAAAGAGACTTAATTCTGATATGAATAAATCAACAATAAAAAAACATTTGTGGGGATAACTGAGGGAATTTGAATAGGAACTAGGATTATATGGTAATAAACCATTATTTTAAATGTTAGCATGATTGTGGTAACATGAAAGTCCTTATTACTTAGAAATAGGTAATCAAATATTTGGAGGTGGAATGTCATGATATTCTTTGACTTACTTTAAGATATTTTAGCAAATGTTAAATAAATCAATCATGCAGAAATACTAGTAATTATGAAATCTAAATGATAGGTATATATGGAAGTTATTTTCTCTCATGTATATTTGAGATGTTCTAGTTTTCCATAATGAAAATAAAACCTAAGCAAATGAAAAAGAAGTTATTATTAACTTCTGATAGAGAAATTGTATAGGAAAGGAAATGTGACCATAATTTATTATTATCTATAAAGCAGTAAATAACATTTACAAAGACATTATGTAACTATCAAGTATTGACTTCAAAACTGAGAGAATGGGAGGAGAGAAAAATTTGCAAGAGGAGGAGAAAAACAATACTGGTTTAAGAAACCTAAATTTTCACTGGGTGCAGTGGTATGTGCCTGTAATCCCAGCATGTGGGAGACTGAGGCAGCAGGATCATAAAAGGTCCAGTCCAGCCTGGGCTATAGAGTGGGACCCTATTTCATTAAGAAAAAAAAAAGGAAATCTAAGTTTTCAGCTAGTATAATATAAAGTCAATTAAAAGCTCATAACTAAGAAAAGGAGCTGGGCGCTGGTGGCTCACACCTGTAATCCTAGCTACTCAGGAGGCAGAGATCAGGAGGATCATAGTTCAAAGCCAGCCCAGGCAAATAGTTCACGAGACCCTATCTCAAAAAAACCTTCACAAAGAAGGGCTGGTGGAGTGGTTCTAGGTATAGACCCTGAGTTCAAGCCCCAGTACTACAGAAAAAGAAAAGAAAAGAAATATAAGCATACTATAATTCCATAAAAATAGCTTAAAGAGTTAAAAACATTTACTGCTAGGGAACACGACTGGAAGAAATTGAGGGAAAGCAGGGGATTACTCTTTTTCTTTATGTCAGAGAAGGGTTAGAAAACAGAAAGTTACACATAATCTTATTTCCCAGAGATTTCCCCGTTAGTACTGTGTGGCTTTGAAATTATGAGCGTTATTTTGACACAAATAAAATTAATGTGAAATGATGTTGATAGCTGCTAATATATCAATTAGGTATTTCGTGTTCCCTGTCTATGATAAAATGGCACCTTTTTCAGGCCCATAATTACTATTAGTGACTTGATCCATACGAGGGATTTTCACATTTTATCAATTTCTTACTTTATATTACTTTACTAAAATTTGCATTTGCATTGTCTTTTGCTTAAACTCACTACAGACATTTTATAGCTGATAGTTTTTTAACCTTTTTTTTTGGTGGCACTGTGTTGAGGGGCTCACACTTGCTACACAGATGCTCTGCCACTTGAACCATGTTCCCAGCCGACTGCTTGTACATTTAAACCAAACATTTCTATATCAAATTTCAACCTCAACCACTGATAATTCCTTTAAATTTATTTTAATGTATAGTTTACAAGATAATTATATCTTGCCAAACCTAAATTTCAATAGCTTTCCTCATTTTCTGTCAAATTTATGTTTTAGATTTAGTACACACAGAGGGGCAGCTTCAAAATGAAGAAGTTGTGGTAAGTAAATACACTTTGTAGAGATAAACATTATCTTTAGCAAGGACGATATGTTTAGATTTTAAGCCAATCTCCATAGTCCTGGAATTAATAAATATCTTTATTGTATTGTAGGTTCTGTACCCAATCAGTCAAGAGAGGTCATTCTCAATAACATTATAAGCTAAATATATTGTAAATTAAACTCTTACCCATCCTAGGGAGGGTGACTTCAAGCCTAAAACAGAGTTCATTTATTTGTATGCTGTATGTTGCTCATACATTTATTTGGAAGTATTTGTTTGCTTTGCTTTCTATCGTTTGATTCAGCAGGCCTTTTAGAATATGAATCAAAAAGGTTGAGATGTCAAAGTTGGGTGTTAATTTAAGCATGAATGGACAAGGGAGATTCAGATAAGGGGAACTAGAGCATAGGATCAGCAACAAATAAGCCAAAAAGAGATGAAGTGGAAAGAGAATCAGTATTCGGCAACATTCCATTCCATTGGGCTTTGCTTGTCAAGTGGAATGAATGCCCATTGACAGAAGCTGCTGCTTCATCAGGAGTTCCTCTGTCCCTGCTAGTTTGTCATGCCCTGGTTCCAGACAAACACAGAAAAGGAAAATGATTGAATGTGTATTTTTTTAGGTGGCAGTGCTTGTTTAACTAAGTTTTCTCTAAATGAGAGTTAAAAATGGTACCTTGTCCATTAAGTCTACCTTGTCACATCTTGCTAGGAGCTGCTATGAAATCAGTGTTTTAAAAGATTCTATATGAATTTTTTTTTTTGTGGTACTGGGGTTTGAACTCAGTGCTTTGCATTTGTGAGGCAGGTGCTCTACATCTGAGCTATGCCTCTAGCCAATTTTATGCATAATCTTGCTACCATGACCTTCAACTTTTTGTTCATAAAATAAATATTTTATTAAATATAATGGAATGGAATTACTGGATATAAGAATACATTTTTGTAGCTTTTTACATATATAGCCAAATTGCTTTCCAAATAAATTATATAAAGTAAACGTATGTAATGTACAGAGAAATATATTCAGAGGCATCACTAACCAAGGGAAACCTCTTATCGTGAGACATTCTTTAGAAAGACATTTTAAAAAAATTGATCAGAAATGTACAGTTGTGACTTATAGCCCCTCACTATTCTTCATAAAACCAAGTCTGATGTCCTGCTGATACACACCAAAACAACTCTTACATGTGTCTGGCCTGCCTTCTGGATACTACATCTTATATATTTAGAATATTATTTTTCATCAAACCTTTTCTTCTGTAGTTAACAGTTAACTACATATTGATCTTTCCCCTACAGGCACGGGATGGCTACGCCACTTACTTGAGATTCATTATTCTATCAGCCTTTGATCATTTTGCATCTGTGCATAGCATTTCTGTGGAAGGAATAGCAGTCTCAAGTCTTTCTTAGTAATCAGCACAAAATACTCTTTCTTTTTAACCATGTATTTATTTCAACACCAAGTTGATATATTTTATTAAAATGATTTGTGTCAGTCTGTTTCAATTTATTATATTTTCTTCAATATTTTGGGCAAAGAAATTCTGGTTCCATCAGTCAGCAATGGGGCCACCATGGAGGATATGAGGAAACTTTGATGTCAATATGTAGCTTAATCAAGGAAGTGATTATACATGAAAATTTAACTGATAATCCATTGTATCCCCACAACATCTAATATAGTACTAATCAGATTTGAGTGCATTATGTTTTTAATTTTTTGATTGATTGATGCAAAGGGCTAAGTGAGCAATATAGACTGTTAATGATGTCAGAGTTCAGAGAGGAGAAAGTACTTATGGGAAGGTTTGATTGAGGCCAAGGAATCTGAGCTTAACCCTATAAAGCAAGTCATAATTTTTTTTTTTTTAAATTTTGTTCTAGTTTGGTTTGAAAACCTCAGAGAAGGGTTAGAAACAGATAATCTTATTTCCCAAAGACACCCATTATTGACATTTTATGTATTTTGATATTTTGAGGAGGCAAGGAACAAAATGGGACAGACTGTTGGAAATAAGATTTACCTGAATACATCTCATGATATAATTTTGACTTTGGCAGCATAAATAGCCAAAATTAAATAAAAAGCAATTTCAGAATATTGAAAATGCACAGAAATGCATGAACCTAAATTTTATCCCAAGTTTTTTTTTTCTTTTCCTCCTCCCCCTACTTTATTACAAGTTGGTAAAATAAACACAGAGAAAATGATAATTGGTTTTTTGTTTTTATTCATTTATATTTGACAGGTCTCACTATATAGCCCAGGTTGGCTGCAAATTCATGATCTTCCTCACTCAGCCTCCCAAGTGTTGGGATTATAGGTGTGTACCACTACGCCTGGCTAAGATAATTGTTCTAAGTGATTTAGTAGTTTGTCTATCAGTCTAAATTAATTTCTTAGTACTAGTGTGACAAGTACCACAAATTTGGTGACTTAAGCCAAAGAAATGTATCTCCTCACAGTTCTGGAGGCTCAAAGTCCAAAATCAGAGTGTTGACAGGTGGGTCGCTAATGGAGTCTCTGAGGGAAAATCTGTTCCATGCTTTTTTCTTAGCTTCTAGTGCTGCAGGCATTCCTTGGCTTAGGCCCTATCTCTAGTCTTTACCTCTAGAGTCACAAGGCATTCTTCTTGTGTATCTTCACATCTTCTTCCCTTTGAGTATATCCTTTGGATCTCCATGCATCTTCTTACCTTCTCATGATTTAAAATAACACCAGCCATTAAGACCTGTCATTGTCTGATGTGACCCTGTTTCCAGGTAAGACCACATTCATGGGTCCTAGGTTTTAGCTCTTCATCATATGTTTTTGCAGGACACACTTCATCCCATCACACAGTATGTTTGTGATGGTTAATTTTATTTGTCGTTGGCTGGGCCATGTTAATCTGGTATTTGTCAAACATTATTTTGGATGTGTGTATAAGGGTATTTTTTTTAGATGAGATAAAGTATTTAAACTAGTGGACATTGAATAAAGTAGACTGCACTCCATAATGTGGATAGACCTCATTCAGTCAGTTGAAGGCCTTCGTATCACACAGGCTGACTTCCCCTGGGCAAGAAGGAATTCTTCCAGCCAGTGGCTTTCAGACTTGAACTTCAGCATTGGTTCCTTTTTGGGTCTCTATCCTGCTAACCTTCCCTGCAGATTTTGGACTTGCTAGCTTCCATGGATTAACCAGTGTATCAGTGAACTTTCACTCTGTTACAAGCCAGCCCAAAACACTAGCATAAAGCAACCATGTCATTTCCTCACAGTTCTGTGGATCTGATGGCAGTTTTTCTGGTTTGTGTCTGCATGACTGTTCTCTGTGGTTAACTGGTAACTCAATCTAGAGTTGCAGGTTGGCTGGTCTAGGTTGCCTCAACTGGGACTGGACTCTATCCCAAGTAGTTTCTCATCCTCCAGTAGGCAAACCCAGGCCTCTTCAGATAGTGTCTTAGCATTCTAAAAAGGAGTAAGAGGGAAAACAGCAAAGTGCAAACACTTTTATGAATCTCTGTGTGTCAGATTCGCTCTTGTCCTCATTTCCTAATCATGTCACATGGTGATGCCCAGTCAGAATAAGAGAGGTTTACCCAAGGGCATGAATATAGGGAGATATAAGGGAAAGGGGCTGTTACTGCTACAATTTACTACAAACTGAGTATCTTCTGTTGTGATACTATGTAAAGCACACAGACCAGCCTATGAAGTATCACCAAAATTACTGAACTTGAATCTAATCCAGCTCTAGCATTAACTCCCATTTTCAAGAAATTCAAGGATAAAAGAACAAGAAAAATGACACCATAAGGAAGCAAATAGACTGGTGGCCACTAATGCAGCTCACTAAAATGTCCTCACATCTGTGGCTTGCCTGCACATGATAAGATATTCTTTCTGACCTTTTTTGTTGGGGTGGTACCATATGATCAGTTCTGGCCATGAGATGAAGAGTAATTGATTTCTAGGTTGAGCATTTAATCACATGAATGACACCTTTCAGAGTTCTTTCCTTCTGTTGCTAAGATGGCCAGGAAATGTTCTTCATAGTAACTCCTTCATCATCTGGGTCTGGGCTTCGAGACTGGTTGTTAACAGATAACAGTGTCCTATTCAAACTGAGATGGATATGGAGAGGGATATATAGAAGGAGAAATAAAGCTTCATTGTTTAAGCCAATAAGATTCTGGAGTTGCGTGTTTCCACAGTGTAACCTAGCCTGTCCTAAATGTTACACAGAGAAATCTAGAATGTGATTCAGCCTTCAGAACAAGTGACCTAATTTCTTTAACAAGTCAGTGGCATGCTGGGAGCCCATGGCTTATGCCTGCAATTCCAGCTACTCAGTAGGCAGAGATCAGGAGGATCACAGATCAAACCAAGCCCAGGCAAATAGTTCAGGAGACCCTGTCTCGAAAATACTCAACACAAAACAGGGCTGGTGGAGTGACTCAAGGTGTAGACCCTGAATTCAAGCCCCAGTACCAAAAGAAGTCAGTGGCATGAAGAATGGTAATTAAGGGAGGGACTCCACTTTAGATTCAGAGTTACTGCAGCCCCTATAACTACTTGCTGTATATAGACCTTGTTCAAGTGCTGGTTTGAACCTTGAGAAAAGGTTTTTTTGTTGTGGTGGTTATGTTTTCTTGGTGGTACTGGGGTTTGAATTCAGGGGCTCGTGCTTGCTAGGCAGGTGCTCTACTACTTGAGCTACTACACCAGCCCAGTTTTTCTGTGTTGGGTATTTTTGAGATAGGGTCTCACAAACTATTTGTAAGGGGCTGGTTTCAAACCTTGATCCTCTTGATCTCTGCCTCCTGAGTAGCTAGGATTATAGCCATGAACCATCAGCACCCAGCAAGAAAAGCCATTTTTAAGATAATATTTCCTTATGAACTGGGTGCTATTGTTCATTTTGTTACATGTGATACTGGCTGTAAGCTTATGTTAAAAAAAAAAAAACCAAAACATGTTTTCAGAGCTGCAAAGGGAACTATATAGAAGTGAAATGAAATGATGTTTAATTTAATGTTTAAATGCCATTTAAAGCAAATGGCGTTTGCTTTAAAATATTTAAGTAAAGATGTGTGTGTGTGTGTGTTGCTAAGGGTCAGACCCAAGGCCTTAAGCATGCTACACAAATGTTGCAGCCCAAGCAGAGATTTTTTTTTTTTTTTTGGTGGTACTGGGGTTTGAACTCAGGGCCTTGTGCTTGGTAGGCAGGCACCCTATCACTTGAGCCAAACCCTCAGCCCTTTTCCCAAGCAAAGAATTTAACTAAAGCTTTTGAAGTTAACTAGGACAAATGCAACAATAAGTTGTTTAATCTAGGTGATGGATCTATGGGGCTCATTGTACTAGTCTGTTTTTTTTTTCTTTTGTATGTTTAAAGTTCTTCATAATAAAAAATAAAAATTGTGGTACAGAGGGCATCCTTGTGCATAAGTGTTTGTGCATTTGCTTAGATGAGATTCCCAGAAGGAAATTGGTGAAAGTTAGGAACAGGCTTGTTTGTTTCTTTGTTTGTTTGTGGTATTGGGAATCAAACCCAGGAGGGCTTCACACATTTTGCGCAATTGCCCTCTCCTGAGCCTAGGAATAGATTTAAAGCTTTTGGAACTTTCTGACAACTTGCTTCCCAAACTTTGTTACATAGATTTAGTCTTGGAAAGGAAGGTTTTAGGAAAGTGGAGAAGAATAGGAAAGGCATTTCAAGAGGAACATTGGTGTAATCAAAGGCAGGGAGGTGAGCATTCATAAATCACGTTTGTGGAATGATGAATAGAAAAGTTTGGCTAGCTAGAGCAAAGAATAAGACTGAAATGGAACAGTACGGCTAGATCACAGGAACTTTAATACTTTCAGATATTTCCCATAACACTGGAGCCATTAAGGCTTTTGAGAATGTGACCTAGAGCGATTGTATTCATGTTCAATAACATGGAAAACTGAAATGTCAATAATTTGTGTAAGAAGCACTGAATTAGGGCTTACAGATTGCTGGAAGGGATCTCCAGAGGTTATCTGATTGATCTCTTTGGCACAGGCCTAGTGCATTCTCTTTAAGTCTGTTTTCTCTGCCTTCTGTGGATTCAAAGGTGAAGCAATCAGTGCAGTATTTGTAACACAACTTCATGTATGATATTTGAGAGCTGGGGGATATACTCAGAGCACTTGCCAAGCAAGCTCAAGGGCCCAGGAGATCAGCCCCAGCACCAAAAACACCCAAATCATAAAATTTTTTCTACTATCATATATATGTATGTGGGTTTTTTTCAATTATCATATATATGATAATTTAAAATAGCATGCTTTAACCTTCATTTTCCTAGATCTTAAAAAACTCATTTTCTCACTGATGGATGTGGCTCAGTGGTAGAACATGTGAAGGGCCTATGTTTGATCCTCAGCACAGCAAAAGCAAACAAAAAACAAAACTTCATTTTCTCTTTATAAAACTATTAAATTTCAGGCAGTTGATATAAGGACACAAGGCTTTTACCTTTCTAATTTGCTTTTTTTTTTAATTTTTTTATTCTTTTATTCACATGTGCATACATTGTTTGGGCCATTCCTCCCCCCTGTCTGATTTGCTTTGCCTTTCACTGGTGAACTCTGTTATCTTTTAAAAGTTTCATTTGTCTTCCATTGGCACTCTCTCTTTCATTTGACCTTTTCTCTACCTGTGCACAGACTCCTACCTGTCATTGTGCTGTGCAGTGTGTGTGATTTAGGTTTTGCTATTCTTTCTTCCTGGAGCCCTTCTTCCTTGGCTATCTGCATAGCTAGCTTCTTCATTTACTTCACATTGTTACTCAAAATCTCTTTCTCAATAGGGCCTTCCCTGGCCTCCTTACCTGAAATTATGTGTCTTTCTACCCTGATCCCCTCCCCTCACACACACGCCTACAACATAAACACATTCTGTCTGTTCTCTGTTTTATTTTTCTCTTTTCCTGGACTTGAGGTAGTCAGCCTGTGTTCTGTGATTTGAGAGTTCTTATACATTACTTGTCTTTTCTGACTATTATTATGATACAACTTAATTTCTTCCTTTTAATGATATCGTTCACATACTGGGAAAGATGAGGGTTGTGTGGCCTCCTTTCCTTGGATGGGAGTTTAATTGGTTAAATTGTCCCAGGCTCCCACATACTTCTTTGGGTTTTTTTTATTTTGGTGGTCCTGGGTTGA